TTTCTCTCTCTACCAGTGTGGTGGCTGTGGTGCGGTTCTTAAAGGTACAGTTTGTACAGTCCCTTTGTCTGTGGATACTGTGTGTGGTGGTGTGTTGAACAAGAATTTGTCACTGTGTTGGGGAAAATTCTTGATTTTGTTGCCTGAGCTACTGGTGAAAGATGTGATTTTGCAACACCTCTTATGTATTATATGGGATTTTCTTGTGAAAATCATTTCACTTGTTGCATTTTAGAAACTTTTGAGCTAATCTGGCATGGATCTTGGCACTTCTTTTGCTTAGAAAAGAAAGAATATTGTAACTGGGTTTGTCTAAATAGAGTCTGATCTATCAGTTGTTTGATTATTGTGTTTTTTTCATGATGACATATAAAAGAGAAAGGGCTTGGTTTGGATTGGGGTCTATTTTGCCTTCATTTGTTCTGCTCAGACGATTATTTACAAGTGATTGCAGATTTCATATGCATAAGGTTGTTCGAATGATTCAAAAATATGTTATAATCATATGATTTTATTGCCTCATTTTATTTCTTTTCTTCTTCCTATTGTTTTCCTTTTGTGTAGCTTCACTAATCAGTGTTTTTATCTTTGATTATTACACAGCAAAACAGAAAGGGGCTCTGGAAGATGGACTGACCGATATACCCCGTGCAGTTACGTACCGTGAAATTCCGGAAGAAAACAATATAGTCGAAGCATCCGAGGTTAAAATGGGAGGTTCAGACAATTTTGAGGCTCACACATTAGAAGAAGCCCATAAAGGAGTGGCTTGCAGCAACAGTTCAACATCACGGGCCGAAGGCAAAGAGGCACAATCAGATTCTAATCTATTCAGGCAAGGAAAACAAAGGATTAGAAATTTCGAAAGTCTTGATAATAACAAGTACACTCCATACTCGCGTGACCTCGCTCGTAACAGAAATCCGCATATCAATCGCGGCCCGGAGTATGTCCATCTTCCGGACGAGCCATTGAGGCCGAGGCCCGTTATGGACCATTGGGGTGTGGCTTCTGGGCCGGGCTACGGGCCTTCTAGAGACTTCTCTGCACAAATGAGGTTCGGCGATTACCGGTACTTTGACGAGGGGCAGTCAAGTTACGACACGGACTCTTATTACAACCGAGGTGAAAGAAACAGCCGGTACCGAGGCCCGATAGAGGATTTGGAGAATGGCCGGGCCGAGCTCATAAGGAGGCTCGATGAGCTGAAAGATCAGATAAGCCGATCATGCGAAATCTCGGACAAATCCAACGAGCAGAGGTCCTCTGATCCTTACGGTAAACCTCGATCGTCCTATAACTACCCGAAAAACCTGAATAAGCAGCCGCTCGTTCCTGATGATGTGGGCTCACAGTATTTTGTCGAGCCCCGTGAGTACGTACCTTACAAAACAGATAGGTATAGTTCACGTCCGGTTGACTCGTATCATGAGAGGAGGTACCCACATGAGTTCATGCACTATTCAGGTGCATACAAGCCCGAAATTCTCCATGGACCTCCTTACGGCCCGCACTCTCAGTATCATGGTCCAAGTCACGATCATTTCATGTTGAACCGTCATGAAAATTTTCTCCATCAGCCCGCATGCTCCTGCATGCATTGCTATGATAAGAGCTGGCCCGGCCCTCCTAAAGGGCCCGATCATCTTGGCCAGAACAACCCAAGGTTTCATAATGAACCATCTAATAATCCCAATCATAGAGGGTCGAATTTACGAGCACGGGGCCCTCATAAGTCGATGTCCGTGAATTCTAACGACGTGGATTCTGATAATGACGGTTTGAATTATTACCACCGGCCGAGGAAATTCTTGGCGGGAAATAATAAAAGCGGGCGAGCCAGTCGGCCGGTGGCTGGGGGTGCACCTTATATAGCGTGTGGTAATTGCTTCGAGGTGCTTAAAATTCCGACGAGACGCATTTTATTGGTCGAAAGTCAGCAGAAGCTGAAATGTGGGGCTTGTTCCTCGATTATTGTGTTTGAGCTTGGGGACAATGGGGGGTTTGTTGTGTCGACATCTGTGCAAGTAATGGCCAAGAAGATGGACGAGGGCTCGAGCGGGACTTTGGATGAGAACGCGAGATATCTGAATGGTGGGTCAAATAGTAGAGCAATTGTGAACGAATATGAAGATTTTTTTGAAGATCGAATTTTTTCGACTGACGACAAGAAGTCGAAGAACTCTCTCGTGTCCGAAAAGCAGCTCGATCAGCTTTCATCGGCTTCGAGTCTTTCTCACGATGGCCAAATGGAAGTGAAGTCTTTGCCAGATAAAGATTTGCCTCCCGATGATCAGAATATAACGGTCAACCGTTTTGATCGAAGGAACAAAAGTCAAAGGCCCGAGCAGGAGAAAATTTCTCTCGAGCGGGCAGCATCACAGCAGAAATCTGTGAAGAATTATGATGGTGTGGCAACTGAGATGGACGTGTCTTTGAACGAGTTTTCGAATAGCTGTGTCTCTCAGGACTCGGTGGAAATTAGTAAAGAAGCTAATAAACCCAAGGCTAATAAAGGGGGGGACTCATTCTTTGCGGGTCTTATCAAGAAGGGCCTCAAGGACTTCAAAAAGCCTAACCATGGTTTAGAAGCCGGAGGCCTGCAGGTTTATGTGAACGGGCATTTCATACCTGATAGTGTGGTTAAGAGGGCTGAGAAATTAGCCGGGCCAATTCAACCCGGAGAATACTGGTAAGTGTTTGTGTTTATACATGTATATTAATTAATTATTGACTAATCTTGTGCAGATTTGTTATGCATTTCTGTTTCAATTTATAGTTTTTTCACCGATGCTATGTGATTTCAATTTATAATGCCTACCCGGCAATAAGCTGCAATTTTGATTTATCTAAGTTTCCGTTCTGTTGTATTTGGTACTTAAGGATCTTTAACAGCAGAGTAGGTAAATTTTCGAACTTTTATTCTGAGGGCAGTTGTGAAGATGCCTAGATACTGAATGGACAATGAGAAAACGTGGCTTTATTAGTTATAGAAGATTAACATGAAATGGACTGGCTATGTAATGTTTAGCTGAAGCATTTTCTCGAGGGAAATATTTGTTACAGTTTGAAAACTCATCGTAGAGGAGAGTATTCCATTAGAACAGTTCGTTTGACTTATGGTTTCTAGTTTCTAGTGGTTATATTGATTTTCCGAATGTTACTCGTCCAACTTTACATTTTTTTGTACTTTTTCCTTCGTGATAGAATTGCATCCTTTACTTTAGAGATTATTATGGTTACTCGAGTTGTTCTTGTCGTTTTTGGTCTAAAAATGCTATTTTGATCTTTCCCGAATATCTTAATAAAACCAGGTACGATAAGCGCGCTGGATTTTGGGGTGTGATGGGTCATCCTTGCCTTGGTATAATCATGGTAAGTATTTTTTTTTATTTTTCTTCTTTTAGTAGTTAAAGTGAGATTTTTCTTTACAAAAAATTAGTAGTATTTTCATTATGATCATCAAGTGTAAAATAAGCTCGATGTTGTTTTGCAGCCAAACATTGAAGAATTCGATTATCCAATGCCCGGTAACTGTGCTGCTGGGAATACGGGAGTTTTTGTGAATGGGCGTGAGCTTCACCAGAAAGATCTTGATTTGCTTGTCAGCAGAGGCCTTCCCATCACTAGAAACAGATCTTACTTTATCGAGATTACTGGGAGAGTTGTTGATGAACAAACCGGAGAAGAACTTGACGGTTTAGGCAAACTTGCCCCTACGTAAGTTCTATTTTTTTTTATGGGCTTATTATTCGAAGAAAAAATGCCATAGTTAGTTATTATCGTGAAGTGATTCTTTTCATGCTGGACTATACATTGGCTGAAACTATATTTTGGCCTTGAAAATCGCAGCTTATTTCTTCATGTACGAATCTTGGACTTGAAATTGGCTAGTTTGAGCATTTGTATAACTGTATATTCTGAATAATATGTGTGTATCCTAATTTTTGGTTGGCTGTGTTAAGGAAGAGCAATTTGGACAGAAAAATGAAAACACTGAAATGTGTTTCTTGATTTATTTTTATGGTAAAAATCACTTTTAGTGAGCAATTTCTTTATCTGTAAAATGATTTAAACTAATTATCTGCAGTTCTTACTAATTTCAACACCAAACTTAAAAACTTCGCAAATCTACGTGTCGTTCATTTTGTTTCAATCATGTGGCAAATCCCTCAAAAAGACTAATAACTTTCGATACTTTTGAACAGGGTCGAGAGGGCCAAGCATGGATTCGGCATGAAAGTTCCCAGGTGCTTAGCTCAATCAAAGAATTAAAATGCTGGCCTTTCTTTTTAGCTTTATCCCGGTTTTTATACATGAAGGAGATTGGTTCTTTCATTGATCGGATTATGTAGCCTCATTGGCCATATTTGTTCGTGCTTATTTGCCGAAAAAGTCAATTACATATTCATTGGCCAAGAGCCAAAACCCTAATGTGTGTTTATACTGTGTAGTTTGATGGCAATGGATTGTGATTTACTATTCAGGAAATTTTATTGGCATTTCGCAATAGGTTCTGTAAATCTTCCCTCCCAATTCTTTTGTGTTTTTCGACAATATCAAATCGAGCAAATGTACGAAAATTTTGAAGAAAAAACATTTTGTATCTATCTGCATTTGGTTACTCATTCTTTCTTTTGTTCAGTTGTTTCATCTTTTTGTTTTTTGTTCTTTTTACAACAGCAATGTGCATATCTTGAAGTGCATGCACAGAACTTCAAAATCAAAAACGAAATGTATGTTTGGGGTTCCATACATATACACAAAACCTTGACAATTTAATTTTTACGACTCTAATTTAAGTATTTAACATCTCTGTCCCGTGCTAAGTACTCGTTTTATAGAGCTAACTTAAACATTGAATCTCACAGTACATTCACGTCCCAATAATAAAACAGAGTCGAATTCAAACTCTCATAATTCAGATCCATTTTGTTTTTTTATCGATGTGGGTAGTTTATGTCCATAGTTGACAAATTGTCCATCAATATACAATTGAATCATAGCAAATCTATGCATCCTCAATAAAATTACACGACAGACACACAAAAGAAAAAAAAAAAGAAAAAAAAAAGGTCTACAACATTGTTAACTAGCACAAATAACAAAAACTTCGGGTTCGGTAAGAATCTCTTTCCTCGTAACCCTTCAGAAATGCTCTTATTGAAAGGTGCTCTGCAGCATAAGTCATAAATGATGCCAAGATAAGGCCAACACCAACCATCAAACCTAATCTGTCGAGCCAAGCACACATGAATTGCAACGAAAATTTCAGCTTCCGTAAATATATTTATTTTGTGCCAAGCAAGTGCACAAGGTGAAAATAAAACATAATACCTCGAGAGTCTAGAAGAGAAAAGATAATAATACCTTAAAAATAGAGCAGTGATTCCGAAAAGACAAGGCAACAGAGGAACTGCCAAGGCAAGAGATGCCAATCCTAACCCATAATAACATGCGGCGACATCACAAGAAGAAGCTTGCCGTAAATGACCTACAAAATACAAAACATTAAAAACTACAACCATTTTCAAGAACCAAGATGCGAACATGCTTAAAAAATAAAAATAAAAAAAATGCTTAAGTACTATACCTTTTCCAGAATCGTAATCTAGAGTCTCGGTATTGGAGGAGAAAGATGTTGACTGATGATAGGCCGCACGCTTTCCCCATTGACGAATTACATGCAGATAGCTTCCAAACAATAGGAAGAAAATCGAGAATGTCCATTCATAGACAAGAAGCAAACCGGTCCATGGCATAACTTGACGAGGCACAAGCGAAAATGAAAGTGCGAGAGAAATTAAGGCAGCCATAAAACAAACAAACGGGGAAATCGCCCCCACAAAAGCAGGCACTTTGCTCTGTGCTGCATTTGGAACCTGCGTTTTGCAAACACCAAAGTGAAAAATTTTGCCACGAAAATATCAATAGATCTATGCTTCAGTTAAAAGTAGAAAACAGGATTTAACTTCTATAAGCTAACACTCCTCTAGAATATAAATGAAACACAGGATTCAGTAGACATGTTTGTTGAATCAGAATTAGTATACTGAAAATAAACATGTTTGTTGAATCAGAATAAATAAAAAGTTGCAGGACAAAGCAAACCTGCTGATTAGAGCTGATGGTAGAAGAAGTAACGGAGTAACTAACGGCACCTCCAAATCTCAATTTATAGTAAAGATGTCTAATATGATCAACCAATGATCTCGTCTGTTGTAAAGCGTAACAAGTCAGACATCAATACCCAAAATATAAAAATAAAAATAAAAAACTCGTACGTTTGAGAAAAAAGAAAATTTCAAAATTACTAACCTGCAAGTATGAACGGTAATAACAGAAAATAAGGAACACGAGTGGAAGCAGAATAAGAAATTTAACTAGCAGTTCATCGTTTGGATTTCGACCCCCTCCAGTACCTGGAAGGGTTTCTTTAAGATTCATCCTCACTTTCTGTAGCATAAAGAAAAAAGATCGTTAGAAATTGAGGTGCGGGTGAAAGCAGAAAACCAAATTATAGTGCATCAATTCCAAAAATAATAATAATAAAAAAATAAAATAAAATCATATACCTGCCAGACATCAACAGGTTTAACAAGCCAATGTGTCCACCAATCCCAAGGCTTAAGTGGACCAAGTGTGTAATGAATAACATGAAGTTTATCTTCATCAACCATCCACTGAAATAAGGCATTGGATTAAAATACAAAAAATAGTAACAAGATTTACAATCCTTAAGAAACCATTCTCCAACTAAAGCATTCTGCTACAAGAGAGAAGTCATCTATTCTCTTACAGTCACAAGCTCTTTAATTTTCTCACAATCTTGTCCATTTCTAGAACCAGATAAATGTCTTGGACACATTCAAATACTGGTTTCACCGTCACCAATTATTGTATTTAAAAAATTCAAATCACCAATAATGCAACATTTTTGGCCGGAACTTTATCTACTTACTGTTAAAAGGAAAATTATATCTTATATTGAATGATGGAGAAGGAAGGAAAGGAAGAGAACAAAACAAGTATATAACATGAAAGGGATTTGAAAAAGACACTATGTGAACAGAACCTCCTATATCAAGTGTGATTATTATGTAAGAATAAGTATGCGACGGGAGCTCTTTTCTTTGGTGATTCTACAAAACTTGGTCCATTGCATGTTTTGATTCATTAAACTAAATTTTTTCTTCTAACATAAACTCTCCGCATCCCCCCAAGATTGTTAGTCAAATCCACAATGTCAACACTCCTTCAGTTGCCAAAATCCAGTAGATACAAAATTGTAAGTGAATGTCAAAATGGCTGCCAGTATCTTGGGGAAATAAATTTTCAAGACCCTACTTCGAAGTTCTTAAATCCATAGCAACGCCAGCAAAGGATTTTTAAGTACGCAAAACGATATTGATTTGAAACATATCGCAAAAACTTTTTCAATTGAAATAAAACCATGCCCATACACGCATCCACTACAATGGAAGCACACGTCTAAACAATAACCCCACACGAGTATTTTATATCCCGACTACCTACAGAAGAAAAAATAGAGAAAGTAATTGGACATAATACAATGCTAGGAATCAGAAATATATCCTGAAATAGATTCCAGGCATCCTTTCTCAAGCAAGCCCCTAGAGAAGCTACTTTTACCATAATCATAAATGGCATTTCAAAAGTTAGATTAACTCTTTTTTGCATTCTACTTTTACAGCAAGTCCTCAAATACGAGAAAGACCTCATGAATGAGGTGACAGTATAACAAAGCAAACTCATAGAAGGCAGTTTCTGGTCAGTCAGTGCATATGTCAACTTGTTAGCACACCTTCTGAGCATTCGAGGAAGGGATTGACCTAAAGTCATATGTTGACAAGCATAGAAAAAGCAGAACACAATACAAAGCAGTGTCTTGTTCGTGCAAAGGGATTTTACCTTGTTAGCAAGCATGTAAAGACCAACATCTGCATTATACAAAGTAGACAGTCTTTCCATTTTCGGGATGGGTCTAGATTTCAGTTCCTCCGGATCCGCATGTGGATCAAAAATGGCAGCATTTGCAAAGTCAGGAAAATATGAGTTGAGAAAGCCTTGGTCTCCTGTTAAAAACAGCAGAAGAATGAGAAAAAATCTATAAATTTAATTAATGAAAAAAAGAAAAAGTAAAACTAGTAAAAGTGACATTTCCGGGTACTAGAATAATATATTAGGAAAAAATATGGTAGACACAAATCAGGGAATCACTAGCTATGGCATGTCCCGTCTCAATAATGTGAAAAGAATGCTATAACTTCCAAAAATTTGAAGGTCTTAATACAGGCTAATCAAATGATCACCACTTCCAACAATGCTATAATTTTATTTCTTTTTTAATCTAAAAAGGCAAATAGTTTCTGAAGCTTAAAAATATCAAGAAACAAAAACAAGACGCATTAAGTGTGTACAAATAAAATATTACCTCCAGTATAAGAGTACATTGTGTTTACTTTTGCCATCATATCCTTGAACACTTGTTCAGATGGTTCAACCACCATGACTCCAGAATTCAGCCTTTCCGAATGCTTCAAGTTGGCACAAAACTTCTGACACTTGAAAAGATCTTCGATGTTCTTCACCACAATTGTATCAGCATCAAGGTATACCACTTCCCAAATTTAGAAAAACAAAGACCCAATTATAGACAAGTCTGTTATATCCAATTAAAAAGAAAAACACACCACCACAGAAGCTCATACACCATAAGAATACTGATTTAGTTATTAGAAGAAAAGAAAAAAAAAAGTGAACTTTTACTCAGTAAGATAAGTTCATACTTCATAGAATCTTTACCTTTTTTGTAGTTTGTCATATTAAATATTTTAAGCTTCGTGTACACACCCCAAAACCTCGTCGGGCGCACTTGATTAGGATTTTCTAGCAACGATATCGTCTGCACAATCCAGCCATCCAACTATAGAACAGTAGTAAATCAAGTGAGGTTCCACAAAATACAGGTGAAGAACAACATGAAATTAAATCACTATTAAATATACAGTAATCTAATCCTTCATGATACACATATACACGAACAAAACTATCTCTAGACTCATTAAATTTCAAAAAAAAAAAAAAAAAA